ATCAAGTTGCAAAAATTCAGTCTTTGATTTTTAAGAATTTCTGTCAATTTTTGTACCGTATGGAATTTATAAGGTCTGAATTTATATTTTTTCAAAACTCTACGGATACTCTCCCTTGAATTCTTATGTGGTCCGAAACGTGCGCTTAATTCTTTTGCCGAAATCCTCAATGACTTTTTCGGATTTTCTATATGATTCAGTAAGGTATTTAATTCATGATTTTCGTCATTTCCACATGTCCTTTTTTTTTCGTTGTAAATTGCAAGTCCTTCTAAACTTAAAGGTAAATGTTCTTGATGGTTCGCCTTGATGGAATATTACCATTCGGAAAACGCAATTCATAGCCACGTCTTGCAGCGGATGCGTTTTGATTATTTTCTATGAATAAAGTTACTATTTCTTGCTTTTCTTCATTTGAATACACCATGATTCAAGAAAAACTTACTTATAGAGGAAATTAACAAGAAGTGATGAAGGGATTAATCTTCACTAGAAATGACAATGAAATGTCATAACAAACCTTCATTATTGTTGCAGTTACTCATGGTTACCTCATGGCATACTATCTACAATCATAGAACAGTTATTCAATCATAAATCAATCAAAACGACTTTCAGGTTCAAACGTCTATATTATGAGAAATACTGAAGATACATTTATTGAGTGGGGTATTTTCGGAAAGCGCTTCGAAAGGTCTATCTAATGGGGCGAAAATATATAGGGCGTTCCATTTAAAATTTTTGCAATTTTTCCTGCTCCCTGTATATCCTTTGATATACTAAAAATATATCAGTTGATTCGAGGAGGAAAGAAATCCCCTGTAAGGCTGTTTTTTATTTTTTTTCTACTGTCAAAAATAAAAGAGTTATAGGGGGTGGTACTTTATAACGTGTCACCCGGTACGTAAATTTTGACGCGTTGTCACGTTGGTGCCCGTTGGTGCCTAGATAGGCCCTGCTAGAATACAATACACTGCGTGGGAAATAGGGTAAATTATCTAAGTATCCAATATTGTATACAAACACGTTAGTTGTGTATTATGTGGACGCACTAAAAACAGAGTGATTTTTGTTTTAATTGCATTTCCTCGTTGGACCCAGCCCTGGATCCCATAAGTCGAAACTTGTGTGGGGTTAGGAAAGCATACGTTTTTGTTTCACCTAAAAACAAGTCAAATTCATGGTGGTGTACAAAATACACCGTTCGGGAAAAAGTTCGAATTAATTAGCGCGAGTAATCAAGGGTTAAGCTTATCCACATAACGCAATAAGGGTTGCCGAGTCTTTGTCATTTACAAGGTAACTTCCAACAACGGTGACATACGTTGGCCAGCGCGGTCACCTGATCTCTCTCCGCTGGATTATTATTTATTGGGAACTATGAAAGATTTGATTTTCAGAACTGTACCGATCGATATGGATGAGCTGCGAAGAACCATAATCACCACTTTAGGGACTAAGATAAGAAGCATCTCGCGAGCAATTCAGAATCTGAGGAAACGCGTAGAATTTTGTGTAGAAGTGGATGGTGAAGTATTCGAGCATCTTTTATAACTTTGTTTTGTTTTGTTTCGCGAAGAATAAACTTATAGCTCATCACGTCGTTCCTAATTCGAAACCATAGTTTTCAAGTAGATGAGCTTGACGAAAATGTGAACGTTCCAGATCCATATACAAATGAACTGTCGAAATAACTGTTAGCGTTCTTTCCAAAGCACTCTTCGCAAGAATGTTTTTTTACCAATTTTGATCAAGAGGAAAGATTCGATCATATCATGTGATACATCATTGTAATCAGAAAAAAAAAGACTTTTCAAAAAATTCTAAAATGGCGCCCATGAGAAAAAACATAGTAATGTGTTATAACTTTTGTCAAGAACGTCATGGAAAATACAATGAGAGATTCAGATTTCTTGTAAAAAAGTGCCTTGAGAATTTTTCAGTCAGAAACGTCTTGGTCTCTTGGTTTCTGCTTGAAAAAATAAAAATGTCCTAATTGTTCCAACAATTCGAAAACTTAAAATGACATAAAATTTTTTTTGCAGATAAATATTCAGCATAAAAATGCGCAACTTTGCCCTAATTTAACCGATCTCGAATTCCTTATAATAACTGAGATCCCTATGGTGGAGTTCGAAAAACGGACACCCTGTATAGGTTTTTCGGAATACTTCGTTTGGCAAATAATTCCATAGTTTTGCCGTTCCATACACGATCGAGTTTTGATAAAGTGCCGTTCGACAAATTTTGAGGTTGACAACGGATATGCTGACTGGGCTTGGCGAGTTCGCCTGACTGGTATAGGTATAGTGATGGAATGATAGCAAAGATATCTGATGAACATTCTCCACAGATACTCCTACGTAGGGGTATCTGTGGAAACATGAAAAGTGGTCGACTTCATTACGGTGTTCCAATGATGTCGAAGAGGTAGTGAGTGTGGCATCACCCACCAGGCGGATGACTCTTCTCTGGATGGGTTCTAAGAGCATTAGCGTATGTTTGGGTGCTGAACCCAATATGTGGAAACAGTATTCTATAACAAACCGTATATGGGCTTGGTATATCATGAGAAGCTGTTGAGGTGTGAAGTAGATGTTTGCAAGGAATATAAATCCGTGTTTTTGTGGAGCAGCCTATATAGTACACTTGGTGAGAATGGTGGTACCAGACATTGTTATATCAGGGACACTGAGATCTGCCTTTGTAGAGAGAATACAGGCTTGAGGTTTGGTGGCGTTGAATTCAATTATTGGTTCCCCTGGCTGTAATTTCAGCAAGATCGTCATTGACCTGCCTCCATCGTAAATTCTTGATATCCTGGGAAGAAATGGGAATTCTAGAGAAGAACGAAATATGAAGAGTGGTATCATCTGGAAAGCTGTGGATAGAGCAAGTGTTGCTCCTAACACATAATTGATATGAAGTAGGAACATTGCAGGTAATAAAATTAATCCATGTGGAACACCGGAATTGATGACAATATTATCAGACGATACTGCGTCCAACTCGATGAAAGACGGCATAGCTGCTAAGGTGGTAAGCCGTATGATGATAGTTTGTAGAAGAGTCCTTGGTGCCAAACACCGTCGATTGACTTTGATATATCCAACGCCACAGCTAGAGATTCCCTATTTTTCGTGTCATTATATGAGTGATGCAGGCGAGTATACCTCCAGTGGATCTCCGGTGGTGAAAGCCCTGTTGTCTATCAAGTTCTTGATATCCTGGGAAAAAATGGAATTCTAGAGGAGAACGCAGTATGGAGAGTAGTATCATCTGCGAAGTTAAGGATAGAGCGAGTGGTTGCTCCCAGCACATAATTGATATGAAGTAGGGACATTGTTAGTGCCAAACTTGATCTTTGTGGCACGTCGTAATTGGTGGCAACGGTATCAGACAATGATCCGTCCACCAGAGGAGAACGCAGTATGGAGAGTAGTATCATCTGCGAAGTTAAGGATAGAGCGAGTGGTTGCTCCCAGCACATAATTGATATGAAGTAGGGACATTGTTAGTGCCAAACTTGATCTTTGTGGCACGTCGTAATTGGTAAGCCGTATATGATGTTAGTTTGTGAAGAAATGCTTTGTGTTGTTAAACACGGTCGAATTCTTTCGACATGTCATCCTGAATATATCAATTGATTCCCATGATTTTATAATGAAGCTCGCCATATATGGGTGACGTATAGGCAAGTAGATCTCCAGTTGGTCCTCGGTGGTAAAAGCCATATTATTATTGTCTATCATCGAAGATTCCAGAGCTCTCCAGATATTTAATGAGCTCAATGTTGACGGTTGTCTTCAATACTCTGAAGATAACTGACAACTAAGGGTTCGCGAAACCAAGACCAAGACTGGACTTTCGAGACCAAGACCAAGACCGAGGCTCTTTCCCAAAAGTCTTGATCTTGGTCCTGGAAGAAAAATAATGAACTTGAATCAACTCAATATTAAGAGAAATCTGATGGAAAATGAAATGTCATTTTATTTCAGTTATTCATTTGTATTATGGTAGGTTCTTTATTTTTGTTTACTCAAAATCCGAAATATATTCCTGAAATTCAGTATTGCAGTTTCCAAGTTTACAACAAATATGTGTATGTCGTGAGGTCATAGTGGTCCATACCTCCTCCTATTGAAGATAGAAATAAATTCGATACAGAAGTTATTTGGTATGAATTTGAAATGTTTTGAAATATTTTGATGATGCGTTGTTGTCAGTTCCGACCCTTCCGAACCTTTTTGCTGTTTGGGTCTCATTCAATGTTTATTTGAGGTCTCCTAAAAATTGTGGTAGAAGTAGAAACTCATTCCGCTCACTTTATACGCACGAATTGACAATTTTAAAGATTGAGGAATACGAAATACCTATTATATGCATATAAACTGTTGGATATTCGAATTGAATAATTCAAATTTCTAGACGCATTATGATCAAGACTATCAAGACCAAAGACCAAGACTGAGCCAGTCTGATCTTGGTCTTGAAACATCAAGACCAATAACAAGACCAAGACTACGTTTATTTTACGAGACCAAGACCAAGACTGATTAGTCTTGGTCTCGGTCTTGGGCTCGTGAAGCCCTACTGACAATAATTCGATTCGTGTGTGCAACCACATTGTGTATTTTGGGTTATCCTGTTGCTTATTGTCTTCGCGCTACTATGGCTAACGTACCCTGAGGAAAATTGAAATTCTGATCGGATTATGTGGATTCAATTCATGTTAATGATCAAGAACCAGATGAAGTCCAACCTTCCTGCTTCCAGATATATCTTCATTGAATAATTCCAGAAAACTAGTCTCAGCAGTTTCGCATATAAATGTAGACCCTGCTTGCTGTGAAAAACCTGTACCTACTTTTTCGTGATTTATAAATGAATAAATGTCTAGCTTCTCTTATTTATTCTGAGGTACAGACGTGACCATCGTTTGATACCACGATTTCAATTCACCATTCCGATGTATTTCAATGATGCTGTCTAGAACTTACTGGCAATGCTATAGCTTTGATGCTTCCATTAGAATTGTACTGGAAATATCCGACAGGCTGCATACTCATTCGTAGGGTGCCATTCATTTCTTTATCGTCGAGAAGGGCTACCACTGTGAAATTACCCTCAGCGTCTCCATTACCATCTATAAATACCTGGAACATGAAAAAATGGATCGTTTTTCATGGGTTTTGCCAGAAGAATTTGAAGGAAAGAGCATGAATTAGACTTTACTAGGGCCATGCACAGTTTTATTTCTTGACAGTAAAATAATCCGCCGCACGCAGGAGAGAGAAAGACAGAGAGAGATAGTATACCTAGTTCTGGAAAATTGGGACATTCGTAGGACCTTATCGGGATATTCAGTGTTATAGGGGTGAATTATTGAGTATTCTAGACTTCATAAAATGGAACCTATAAAAGACCGACTCCTTTAATGTAGTTGAGACGTTCAATAACGCTAACGGACTTCCGTCCTGTTCAAACGGGGACATATTTCGTAAAAACTAGGAATTGTGCCTACTTTCATTGAATTTACAAAAATACATAATATGAGACATCACATTTTGAAGGTAATTGAATCCTTTGCGACTCCTTTGTCGAGAGATTAAAGAAAAATAAATACAAAAAGTCGAAGTCATTTCCACACAATGTTCAAAAAATGGACAGCAGTGGTAGATTTCGGGCGAAAAACAACAACTATCCTGGCTAATGCCACGCAGAACATTGAATTACATCTTCCCGAAATCCATGCATCAACTCGTATTATAAACAAATACTGATACGAGTGATTCTTCTCTAAATGCCTATTGATTTCGATTTAGCCAGGTCACGCTTGACACCTACAGACCGGTTCTGAGCTCTTTGACTCTCATCAGTGCAGGGCAGTCTCCAGCTAGCAGTCTTATATCATATTTGGATTGAAAAATCTAAGCTCAAGAAAGATATGTTCGAAACTACTCGGTACGAACCGTGTAACTAGCGTCCTCTATGAGAGTCAGATATACAGGGTGATTCACATAAGAACCGACATAGAGCAGGGGCATGTAGGGGGTCCCAAAATATGGCAATTTAACGCAACTTACCTCTATACCAAGTTGCTTCCCTAAGGAGATATATGCTTTGAAAGTGAAGTTATAAATTTTGAAAAAAATCAATATCTTCGTTATCCTTGAACTTAAAGCAACCAAATTTGGTACACTTTGTGGATGTATTTGGGGCGTTACTTGACAGTAACTAGAATTTAATTGAAATTTGTAAAGGGGGTATACTGGGTGGCGCACAATTAATATTCAACATAATTTTGTTAACCCTTGATGGATTTCAGAATTATTCGCTTTGTTTTGTGGGCAATTTAATTCTAAAACTTTCCTCACTCCAGTAATTTTTCGAAAAACCTCATCATTTCCATCAAAAACTCGAATAACTGAAAACGCGCGCTCTAGGTGTGTTATTTAAAATCATCGAAAATTCAAAAGTTGGCTATGAAAATGAACGTCAAACTTGATAATGAGGCAAGTGAGTTGGTCAATTAAGTAATTGTTGTTTGAGTGTTTTCAAAATGAACGGGAAGTCTTCTTTTAACGAGCAAGTTGACATGCTGTTAGTGCTATGCCTATAACTTCTTAGGGAAGTAACTTGGTATAGAGGTAAGTTGCGTTAAATTGCCATATTTTGGGACCCCCTTCATGCCCCTGCCCTATGTCGGTTGTTATGTGAATCACCCTGTATAAACAAATTCATGCGATGTGACAGAATTCAAGAAACATCCACACAAAATCTCATTACAATGTTGACAGCAGTTTCGGAATAATCGTGAAAAATGTCTAAAAAAATAATTTTTTCAACACCTTGTATCATGAAAACGGATGCCGTCACGACAGTTCTTCACAGAGCAAACAAGATTTATTTTGCAATGTTCTACCCACCCTAGCAAGGGGGTTAGGTTTTTTTGAAACACCTTGTATAGCTAATAAAATGAAGGAGAGGGGTATACCATGAGTCTGTGTCACCCGGTGAATATAATATCATTCGGAATATTCAACAGAAAACGAATACTTTCCTGGCTATTAGCCTCTATACATTTCTTGAAAAATCTTCTGAGATTGAGAATTGACATTATCTTTCGAATCGGGTGAATATGATGTTAAATGATATAGACATACAGAGAAGTGCACAATAAACGGTCAGTGCTGTAACTTCTGAATCATTTGAGTTCGCAGAAAATTGGTAAGTAGCAAATATACCAAATTGCTCATTAATTGACTAACCAATTTTTGTTCCATCACTTCCGGTTTCACCGGAAACGACCCTAATTTTCGATTTTTGAATAGGACACCCTGTATTTTATTCCATTATCGGTTAGGGATTATCATAACGAATACAACGATACCGGATTTGATAGGGTTATTCCAAACCATTACGAAGATATAAGCGTTTTGAGTTTCCATTTGCTCAATGGGTGTGACTTCGCAATATCGAAGCTTCTTTCTCTGTCACACTTATTGAGGAAATGGAAACTTAGAACACGAATATCTTTGTAGCCGTTTGAATAAACCCTATCAAACCCTGTATCTTTGGATTCGTCATAATTATCTCTAACCGATCATGTAATAAAATACAGGGTGTCCTATTGAAAAATCAAAAGTCAGGGTCGTTTCTGGTGAGATCGGAAGTGATTGAACACGAATTGTTACATCAATTAATGTAAAATTTTCGAAATCTGATCTAGCATGATTCAGAAGATACAGCACTGGCCGTTTTTTGTGCACTTCTCTGTATAACTCCAACATATTCAGTATTGCAATGAAAATTGAAATTGAATTATTGTACAGACTCTGAGCTAATAAGGTGTTCATCAACAATAATGTTATTCAATGTTCGACGAGGAGAATAGCCTGGAGAGTATACTTGATTTCTGTTGAATATTCCGAATGATGAGGATGCAAATTCGCAACTACAGATTTTCTTTATACGTATATACCCATTATTTTCATGATTATGATATATCTGAGAATATTTCTTTTCAATGATCTAGTGTAGAAATCTATTACTTTGAATCTCTTATTCACCTATCGTAGAAATCGAGAAAGAAAAAATATGAATTCATGAGTTGGTGCCACACCAAGATAGGTTCCGAAAAAATAGTGTGTATTTCAAGCAACCAAGTTAACTCTGTTTGACGAGCGGCAATATACCACCTCAAGCTCCAAATACACAATAAACATTTTCACCTACTCAGCTCGTGTTGGAATATAAGTATCATAGCACAATATACGATCATAGCTTCACAAAAGCAGAATCATTGCTTACGTCATAGCCTTGTATGGAATGATAAGATCTGTTGACAATCCTATCCAATATGGCGGTACCATTTCTAGGATCCTCGTTGTTTTGAAAAACTTCAGTTAAAGCTCTGGCGTAGATCATGACTGCATCATAAAGATATGCAGCTTGGATAGGTACCTGTGGAAATCAGGAAAATCATTAACGGATTTCTAGATGATAATTATCAAACGCAGTGACGATATCGCAGTGACGATATTTTGAAGCAAATCACCTGATTTTCCTTCACTATAACACCGAACAAAAACCTGTTTATGTTCGGTGACTATACCTACATATTGAAATAATATTCATATTTTCATTCATAGAAACCTGCAGACAAAATTCCATGAAATCTAGATAAATTGAAATGCTTAGTTTCGAGAAGTCCAAACAAATTTTATGAAATATAGGGTGTTTCCGAAATTGTGGCAATGAATTTAATGGATGATAGTAGACGAAACAACAATTCGAGATGAAAGATTTCGTTTTTGTCGAGAGAAAAGATATTATGGAAATTATTAAGCTTCAAAGTTTTCCTGAAACTTTTGGGAATCATTGGTTAGAGGTCAGAGATTATTATCCCAACCCGAGAGTTTGCTTTGGGCGAGATCACAAACACCGAATGTATCAATAATAGTTGAAAGATTTGGTATGGTGAAAGTGCACTTTGTTTGAAATAGTTATGTACCTAACAAGTGCGGAAAAGACATTTACCACAAGAGTTGGGTACAAAGTTTTTTCTACGAGTGTTTTTGTCTATATTATTTATGCAAAAAAAAGGTTCCTGATAAACAATATTTTATATAATAATGCTACAAAATTACATATTAGACTGAATAGTTACATGGATCGTTTAGTTAGTCCTATGAATATTCTTATTTTCAACAATACAAAAATCCAAACTTTTCATCACTAGTGCGGTACAGTAAATTTTCCGCACGATATTTTCATGCAATGGAAAATAATGGAATAGATTTTTTTTCATCGATATAATGAGAAACTTATTTGAAGAACATTTAAATAACAATATGGTGAATATTGAAATTAAAAGTGCAATTTGTGTTTGTTGCATGCTGTAACATCCCGAAGAACGTCGTTTTTCATTTGAATTTGATTGGTTAGTGTTTGCATCAATTATTTCCGGGGGAGATCTTGAAAGTTTATACTTAGATTAGTTTATATTAGACTAAAGGTGTTCCTCAAGGATCTGTTTTGGAAATTAAAACAGAAAGTAATTACACTATTTATGCAGACGATACTTTCATATGAAAATGAAAATACTATCATTTTAGAGAATATAATGAACACAGACTTGATGAAATTTGAAAAATGGCTACAATCAAACCTTTTATCAATAAATACTGATGGAACTAAATATATGATTTTTCAACAAAAAAATAAACAAAATATAAATTTTAATCTCAGAGTTGAAAATGAATATTTGAGACAAACTCATCAGAAAAGGAATCTTGGGATTTGGTTTGATGATAAATCAAAGTGGGACTAACATATGAATGTTTTGACGAAAGAAATATCTCCTATTATTTGAACCCTAAGAAGATTTCCAAGCTGGATAAAAAAGTAGCAAATATAATTCTATACAGAGTGTCCGGAAATTAGGCGCAAAAAATCAAGGGGGTGATTCTACATGATAAAATGAGAATTTTATTTCATATGTTCGTGGGTCCGTAAATTCATATTTTTCCACATCATTGTGTAAAAACTTTTAAAAAAGTTCGGTTTTTTATGAATATCTCAAATGTCTTTTCACCGATTTTCTTGAAATTTGGCAATGATATTTCTTGTCATGAGAAGCTGATATAGCGATAATTCAATCGGAATTATGAAAGTCGGTGGCGTCCCAGGGGGCAACCTAGCGAATATTATTGTCAATAAAATGTGCGCCACTGATTCTTTTGAATTCTTCATCTCCATAACCTATTGACCAACTGAAAATACAACTTTTTGGTCTCTTGAATTGTTCTGAAAATTCGCTTCATCTCCATGGAAAAATAGTATATTATGTAACAAGTGTTATAAACGTCCTTTTAGTAACGAGTAGTTTAAGCACGAGCGGAGCAGAGCGGAGCGAGTGTTTAATAAACGAGTTTCTAGAAGAGTTTATAAACGCGTTATATACTATGCTTTTTCTACGAACTCCTAAAATTACATTAACATACCTGCTATTCCTGCTAACCTACAAAATATTTCGAAAGGAATGGGAATTGAGAACATAATAGATGACACTGATGCATGCAACCAGCGAGACACGTATAAGTGATAATGGTTGTAGATGTGTCCAGTCCATTGCTTACTAACCTTTGTTTCACGTTTATTGTCATGCTCAGCGCGAAATAAATAAATTGTTCTCAAAGATGGATGCTTTATTTTTACACTTCTTGATGGAGATATGCAAGTGCCATAACATTCCCTTCGATTTCACTTTCGTCTACATTTCGCATATATTTTCAATGAAGAATTCTGATACAAACAAATATTGTTTGAATAATTATGATACAAAATTCGGAAATAACAGTTGACAGTTGATACAATCGACAGGCCAGACATGTCTCAAATTACTGAAGCTGTGTTTAATGAACTGTGTAGCCATGGTAATGTGTTTAAGAAATCGTGTTGCCATGGTAACGTATTTAATATTTTGAATAAATCACAGATCGCCAATCCGTGATTAATCGATCATTTAGCGTGGTACATATCCGTACGTTAAATGCTATTTTAGTTATGTGAGTAGAAAAAATAAATACCAATTTATTGCATGAATTTGTGCCAAAAAATTCCTTCAAAACTGGAGTGAAAATAAATGCGTGATCAATGTCCATAGACATAGAATTAGTATGAAGATTCATTCTCTTCAAATATTTCTTGATACATGTTTGACACACTCTACACTCTTTATATACTATGTATTCTCGCTCCAGGGAGCCGCAGTTTCCGATAATACAAAGTGTGTCAAACATGTATTATGAAATATTTGAAGAAAATGAATCTCCATTATTATTCTACGTCAATGGACATGGATCACACATTTAATTTCACCCCTGTTTTTGAAGCTTTGTTTTGCACAAATTTATTTAATGAATTGGTATTTATTTTTTTCCACGGAAACGCAGCAAAATTGCAAAACAATGCAAGAGACCAAATTGTTGTATTCTTAGTTAATCATCAGGATATGACGATGTAGAATTTGAAAAAATCAATGGCGCACATTTTATTTACAATAATATTCGGTAGGGTGCCCCTGGGACGCCACTGAATTTCACAATTCCAATTCAATTATGGCTAAATCAGCCCCTCATGACAAAGAATATCATTGTCAAATTCAGAGAGAATCGGTGAAAGGATATTTGAGATATTCATATAAATAACCGATTTTTTCTAAAAAGTTCGACACACTGTATCTTGAAAACTATGCATTTCCGGACCCGAGTATATATGAAATAAATCCCATGTTTTCTCATGCAGACTCACCCCCTTGATTTTTTGCGCATAAATTCCGGACACCCTGTATACTGTTCAAAAAACAATTTTAATAAAAAAACTGCATTATATAAAAAGATATTGAAAGTATCGTATCGTTTACCATATGATACATCAAAAAATCTATTATATAAAATAACTGAATCATTCTCATCAGGAGAAATGTTCAAAATTGATAATATAAAAATTACATACAATATCATAAATGAAAGATGGAAATGTAATTTTATGTCAACACGAAACAATGAAATTCATGATTACCAAACTAGACAACATGGTTTATTTCATCTTGATTTCGCTAACTCTTCTATAGGACAAAAAAGATTCACCCCTGCTGCTCTTTTTTAATGTAACAGATTACCAGATAATTGACCATTCCAGAACACGTGATTTTGACATGGTTTCTTGAGGGGCACACAAACTATCTGTTATAGGTTACCTTTGATGAGCATAGCCCTCCTGGCCATCCCTGCCACATTCACAATATTATAACTGTTTCACCAAACAAAATTATGAAATTCTTTCGGGTTTCAACTCGGATACCAAGGAAAACGATCCAACTAATTCTGGTTTCATATATGACAAATCTTGACAAAATACAATATTTGCGTTTGTTTGCCCCTCAGCAACCTCTCTGATGACGTTATTCTGGAATGATCAATATGAAAAATTGCCGAAATACAATACAATCTTAATACCAAATTAAAAAATTTATCATATCTAAACGGAATTAATGATTTTTTTTTCAACTTTTGATTCATATTCAAATTGATTGTTGCTCACCAATATGAAATGATTTGTCAAAATTCAATACTCAATGTATTCAAATATTTTATTATTTGAATTTATTATAATTGGATAGTTTTAGGTATTATTGTTAACGATTTGCAGACTTTTTCTTGGGGTTTGGATTCGGTTTCATAAATAATTCGAGGATTAAGTAGAAAAAAACGTTTCGCCCATGGCCATGGCACTGTAAAATAATGGTTTACATTGTAGGGTGATGGTGATGACACATGAAACTAAAGAAAAAAGAGAGATACGTACTCTTTTTTCTTTAGTTTCATGTCTCATCACCATCACCCTACAATGTAAACCATTATTTTACAGTGCCAAAAAATTCCAATAAATTGACAAAGCCCATGGCCATGGGCGAAACGTTTTTTTCTACTTAATCCTCGAATTATTTATGAAACTGAATCCAAACCCCAAAAAAAAGTCTGCAAATCAAAAACATAACAGGATTCAAGAATATCTCTCAACAAACAATTATTGTCAACTGTACTTCCTCATACTAAAACTGGATTCTTACTGGAAGACACATTTTCAATGAAATAAATAAATGGAAGAGGATAATATCTTAAATGTCGCACATTTCCAATTTCAGAAATTCGATTCTTTTGTTTATTTTGTGCATCTCTTTCATTGGGCAGCTTTGTTTGCCCATTGAGTTGTCCTTCTCATGTAAAATAAGATAAAATAAAATCAGAGGAAATTCCTCTCGTGCGCTCCAAGAGATGAAAAGAAGACCCTGTATAGAAATCGTTGCAGTTGACGACGCATATATAGTTACTATGGCATCCATGTAATTCATTACAACAGTT